TGTGTGGAGGAAGCAGGAGTGGTCTAGGTCAGTGGTGGCAAACCTATGGGACATGTGCTGCAGTGAGCTCTTTGTATCACTGAAAGCTCGAAAAGGTTTGCCATCTCTGATCTAGGTGGATGACCATAGTGACAGCTACAGTGGTGCCAAGCAAGGCCTCTATAAATCAGCCAGCTCATCTCTAGGACAGCCAGTCACAAGCTCCAGTGTGACTGAGACTCACGTTTCAAGGAGAGGGCAGGAACCAGATGGAAGGTGGTAAAGTTAGGGTTGGTTGAACTTGAGTTTGCTTGTTTGTTTTTTTTGTCAACTCAATCTTATTTCCACATTATATTCTCAGTTTCTCTTTCTAGAGACTGGGCTTATTAACTGTGGCCTCCACAATGTTGAATGCAGGCTAGAAAGGTGGCTGGCTCTTGTTTTAAAAAATTCCACAAGGTGTGCTTACCCCACATTTTCCCTTTGCTAGGCTTGAGAAGTTACATTTGCCTAGATGTTTCCTGGTTCTCTTGGATTAATATGACATGATCATAAAGTGTTGAGAACATGGACTTTGGAATCAGACTAACCTGGATTTCTATCCTAGATTCTTTGCCTGCCAAAGAGTGACGGTGCAGATCACTTCCCTCTGGGATCTTCATGGGAGAAAGATATTAACTTTAGGGTTGTTATGAGACCCACTTGAAATAATCAGGTAAAACTCTTGGCCCACAGCAACCCCACCATGTCCTCATCTAGACACTGTTAAATAGGCAACTAGACACCTTCATCTTCTTCACCATGCTTCTTGCCATCTCTCCAGAGGCTTCTATTAGATCACAAGTGGGTTCGAGAGTGAGGCACATCAGCGGGGCCATACAATGAGGATGAGATGAAGTTTTGGGCCAGATAGGGAGGCTTCTGGGAACAAGAAGGCTGGGCCTGAGGACATAACTGACAGAGGAGCTTAACTCAGGTGGGGTGTGTCTGATGCAGGGTCCTCCAAGCAAAGCAGCCCTGGCACCATGCACCATGCACCATGCACCATGCAGGGCAGCAGGGAGACTAAGCTCAAGAAGAAGACAGTGTAGGAAGAGCCAGGAAGGAGTCCAGATTCCAACAGTCCTTGTGAAAAAACTAGAGCAGGGGTTGACAAACTATAGCCCTCGGGCCAAAGCTAGCCCACCACCTATTTTTATAAATAAAGTTTTATTGACACACAGTTGTCTGTGACTGCTTTTGTGCTACAAAGGCAGTAGAGTGTAGTTGCAACATAAACTCTAGGTCCTACAAAGTTTTAAATATTTATTCTTTGGCCTTTTATAGAAAAAGTTTACTAGTCTCTGATCGAGAGGACTTCATTAACATAGACTCTAGTGATAAGGACCATCAACCTTGGAGTCAGTCAGTCCCAACTGTGATATGAATGGTACCCCCTACATTGTACAGTACACAAGCTCGTCAACTGTAAACATCAGCCCTGCCTGAGAATTTACTGCAGATTTTTCAGGGCACAGGAGAGGGAAGAAAGCAGTATCTGTGAAATGTCAGCACCTCACAGGGAGACCATATTTTCTGCTGAAAGTCAAAAGCACGAGATTTGGGAGGATCTGAGCAGCTGGGGAGGTGAGTCTAAATTTAGATTTTCCAAAGCTGATTTGTAAAACAGAGCCCCAGGAATCCCAGAAAGGGACAGTTCACACACACCATCTTGTCTCTGCTTTGCCTCTATGTGTTAAAAGGCCGGATGAGTGAAAGAATAATTAATTGGCTTCAAATAAACTGTTGCTGGAGTGAGTGAGAAATCAGAGTCGAGCTAAAGGTCCATTGTCCTGGGTCCTGTGTTTCAGAATAACGCTTGTCACGGACTTGTGGAAGCCTGGGCTGCCCTTGAAGGAGCTACATGCATTCCTCTTGCTGGCTGTCATTCTAGCACAGCTGAACAGGTGACCTTTCTGTCTCACACAGTGAATGCCAGCTCCCTGGGTTTGAAATCACACCTGGGATTCCAAGTAGCTCTGAGCCACCACGTGCAAATGGAGAATGGCTGGGCTTTCTCCTGAGCAGCTGCTTCACCCTGAGAGCTGGTGAACCCTCTCTGTCGCCCAGGGAGGCCACATCCAGATGCCAATCTGCCTCTCTCCAGGGGTGATGGGCCATGCTTCTCAGTATATCATGCCCAAAATGAATCACTAATCTAAGATTTCACAGGGATGAGATATTTTGTAAATCAACCCACTTGTGGAGAATGGCAGAGGGTTTACAATAAACATTATAGAGGAATCAGAGAAGGAAATTTAGAAAATGAAGAGGTTTGAGAAGAGGGACAGAGAATTAGGCAGACAAGAGCTGCCTAGATAGTGTTGAAATTCTGAGAGAGGCACATGATGCCAAGAGAGTGAAGTTCAGGGACATGGGCTTACCTGAATAGTTGGGCTTATTGTGAGAAGAGCAGCAGGCATAGGGAGACACAGCTGACCATCTAGGAAATGTGGGAGGCACAGTTCTGCAGGCAGAGTACACAGTACTTGGTCCCTCCTGTCCACAGTGATTTCTTGTGTGCACTTTGCCCACTGTACTTGTGAAGCCTAAAATTGAATTGGAAGATGGACGTATAAAAAGCCAAACAGCAGCCTAGGTTAGCATGCCATACATGCCCGATACAGTGCACAAGTGAGCACTGCAGAACTTTAGAAAAGGAAGAAATGTCACTGAGAACTGAAACAGGCACTTCAGAGAGGAAGGGAGACCTCATCTGGATTCTGAGTGATGGACAGGATTTCAGCAAGTGGGAAGGAAGCTGGAGAACATTTCAGGAACCAGGAAGGCTCAAGCAGAGAAGCGAAACAGGAATTAAGAGTATATTTAGAGGTTTGAGAGGAAGGAAGGTGGCGTGGCTGGAATTGAGCCCTACTGAGGTAACATGGTACCTGCTCCGGCTGATAGCATATTGAGAAGCCCACTGAGAAAGAGATGCATGCAGAAAAGACAGTCCCTCCCACATGTGAGAGGAAAAGCTAGAGTTAAACGTAAATGAAACACCTCTTAATTATTCACATTATCTGCATTGCAGCAATCTCCACCAACTCCTTTCAGCTTGCTGTGATGTCATAGGGGCCCATTCCTGTCTGTTTACAACCAGTGGGAGCAGGAAAGAGAAGGAGGCTTAGATGTCTCTCCTCATAGAATAACATATGTGATTGTCTCTCTTGGCTGTGCCCTTGGGAACCAGATCACAAGTGTGGGTGGAAGTGCAAGAAGCTTACCTGGCTTGCTGCAGGCGTCAAAGGACAGACAGAATGGGGATGCAGGGCTCTTTGGTTCTCCTGAGTTAGGCATCCGGGATGACTTCACTAGCACAGGCCAGAGACTGGCTTGGAGGATGGTCCCAGCACCTTCTCTAAGTGGTCAAGCATCCTTAAACAGAGCAAAAAACACTCACTTATCCATGCATTGTTTGTTACCCCTGGAAGCACTGAACTGGTGCTCACAAAGCCCCAGTGTCCTGCAGTAAGAACTTGGACCAGAGTCTCTAGGTGGAGATGCTCTCAGCATTTGGAGGTAGAAGCATGAATGTCAGTTACTCACTAACGGGGTTGCTTGGTAGAATGGCTAACAAATCTGACCCTTCTGAATAAAGGCCAGTAGTGACTCTTAGTCAAAAAAGCCAAGGAGGGCAGTACCATCTCCAGTTAAGGACCGTGGGACTTGTTCGCTAAGATTGCTTCCCAATATGAAGTTCTGTAAATCTGTGATGATTTTTGCTGCTGGACCCAATACAAACTGCAGAGTAGAGTCCCTGAAGAGTTGACTAGTCATCAGTGAAGTTAGTAACACCTTATTCAGATGTAAGGGAATGTTTGACAGTAGCAACAACCAGGTGACATCTATTGAACGCTTGCTATGTTCCAGACCCTTGGCAAATTTCCTTCATTAGTTCTCAAAGGAAATCTGATTATTTGCCATTTCTGATCATCTGTGTTCCATCATTTGCCTCCTTAATTTCAGGGTATCAGGTTCATGGTTGCTTTTGCTTCATTTATCATTTGCAGACTTGTGCAGATTTCAGATAGGAAAGTGTCCTTACAGGGGGCTTTATAGCATAATGAGAACTAAGGAGCCTGGCCAGGTTCCCTCCTGTGTGCTGGATACAGTGTTCTTTCTCCATGTATCATGGACTTTATGAATTTGGAAAACCTGTCATTTTCTTGGAAGCTACAATTCAGTGTTTTGAATTGACATTGCTAGTTTTGCAGGGTTTTTTCTCCGCAGTTAGGTCCTATCCCTGTAATTTGAATCCATAGCCACCAGAGGGGATCATTCCAGTTTGGATTAGACCCATTGCTTTAAAGAGATGCATACCTTCATCAAAAAGAATGCAGCCCTCCTTGCCAGCCCTGATATAGCACTGGGGAGTCTGTGCCCTCATTTCTAGGCAGAGAGACCTTTTTTTACGTAGGAGTAGTTTCCTTGTAATTTTATATGTGTGATTCTGCCACCTACGTGGTAAGCAAGTAATATAAGAGTCACTAAATCTCAGTCCACACAAATTCTCTCTTAAAATATTGAAGGTCATTTGCAAAAAAAGAAGGAAAAGAGGCCCACAAGACTATTGATCTTTTATATTCTGTTTGCAACTAGTTCCTTTTGACTCTCACTCTTCCTAGCCAGTGCTGATGTCTGTGTTTGGAAAGCATAACAATTTAATTCTGCAGAGGTCAGAAGGATGATTCCCACCCACAGCCTTCACATGCTAACCTTAGGGTAGCAGGAATTGACATAAAAAGCACACCATCTGATGGGCTTATCAAATTAACCCGCCTTCCCTCTCTCTCTCTGCCCAGGGAGCTCTGCACACGGGAAGGGAGAGGGGGGCTGTGCGAAGCTGGAATCCCCTGAGCAAGCAGTGTTTCAGCTGGCTGGACAGATCAAATAACACTTGGGCTGGTTAACAAAAGACACAGTGGGAAGGTGTTGGAAGCCGGAGTGTGGAAATTTACCCAACGTTGTTTCTTTGACAGGGAAGGAGACTCAGTCTGAACGATGCCACATTCCTGCGGGCCCTCTGTGGACAGCAGAACAGTCTCAGTGAAGGTGGTGTGGATACATGGGTGAAAAAGGATGCTACCCACATCCAAAGGCTCTGGAAGATCCTGGCCTGGCAGCTAAGTTCCCTTTGGACTTGGGACATCAGGTATAACTTGGTGTAGAACTCATGAGAGGCGCTTGGCTTTCTCTAGTTTTTTTCCCTAATACTCACCAGACTGGTTTGGTTTTTGAATTCTAAGGTAAGCTGGTTTTTAAAAAACCTGACAGAAATAGAAAGAAGCCCCTAGAAGCCTCCAGAACCCTCTGGCAGGATTCCTTCATACTACTCAGAGCATAGAGGAACGCTCTGATAAGGCTGAGCTTTAGACCTTTTTGAGTGCAAGGACATCTCAGCAAACAGCTCTTGCACTTCAGCCAGAAAGCGCCTTTTACAACAAGGAATTCAAAGGGGAGAGTTGCTGCATATTATACTCTGAGATCCATGGTGACAGAAAATGTCACCTTCCCCCAGATGATCATCCTGGATTTTCCTTCTACGATGCTAGATTTGCAAGAAGGATGAGCCATTCTAAACATCAAGGAAGATTCAGGAAGCAGAAGAGTTGGTGGACATCTGTCCCCACCCAGGTGAGGAAAACGATCTGAACTTCCAGAGTTGTACCTTGGCCAGCAGGGACCTACACCAGGGGCAAAAGCATCTCTGAGCTGCAAAACTTTGCAAAATGAGGAGTGCTGGAGAAGCCACTAGCCAAGACCTGCCCTTTCCTGCCTGCCCCTTCATCACATGGGCAGCTCTAGACCATTGAGCCAACAATGGCCAAGAAGGGTGACTGCTTTGCCAGTATCTATGGGTACGACCTTGGTGGGCGCTTTGTTGACTTCAAACCCCTGGGCTTTGGCGTCAACGGGCTGGTGCTATCAGCCGTGGACAGCCAGGCCTGCCGGAAGGTGGCTGTGAAGAAGATTGCCCTGAGCGACACCCGCAGCATGAAGCACGCACTCCGGGAGATCAAGATCATACGGCGCCTGGACCATGACAACATTGTGAAGGTGTATGAGGTGCTGGGGCCCAAGGGCACTGACCTACAGGGTGAGCTCTTCAAGTACAGTGTGGCCTACATCGTCCAGGAATACATGGAGACTGACCTGGCGCGCCTGCTGGAGCAGGGCACGCTGACGGAGGAGCACGCCAAGCTGTTCATGTACCAGCTGCTCCGTGGGCTCAAGTACATCCACTCCGCTAATGTGCTGCACAGGGACCTGAAGCCTGCCAACATCTTCATCAGCACAGAAGACCTTGTGCTCAAGATTGGGGATTTTGGGTTGGCAAGGATCGTTGATCAGCATTACTCTCACAAGGTATGTCTGGCTGGAGGGGCCTGTAGAATTCTGGAGAATGCACACATTCCAGACAGTGTCCCTCAATCCATGGTAATCAGGGGAGTGCAACCAATACGTGGGGGAGGCTAAAAGGTGCTAGGGAGATCCCTGGTCTGAAAAGCCTTTGTGGGTGGGGGGTGCGGGGATCTGGTTCTTAATCTTGCCTCTGTCCTGTGGCCATGACCAATAACTCCAGGATGTACAAGTAGAAGGTTGGACTAGACAATCTCTTAAACTTCTTCCAGCTCTGTGGGGTTTAGGCTTGTGTGGTTGGTGAATTTCCTTGTGTCCTCTTATCCCTGCTGTCCACATAACCGTGTCATCGCCCTACTGTCTGCTCTGGATACCTGGTGAGACTTTGCATCCTATGAGCCCATGCTCTGCTTGGTCCCGTCTGCTCCTTCCATCAAAGCAGACCCATTTTGTGTCCCTTCCTCCAAGTCTGTGGCATGTGGGAGGGGATGGCTAGTCTGATAATTTGACCTTCACTGTGCATAATCCAGCTAATGATTCAGCTCTCCAGGGGCCCATGGTGCCCTCACCACTCAGTGTGGTAGAAAAGCGTGGGTGTCAGGATGGCTCTGTTAAGATCCCCATGGTGGGTAACTGAATCCTCCCCCAGCCTCAGCGATCAGAGCTGAACTGGACACGCTGGTGGAGACGTCTCACACTGACATTTTTTCCCTTAAGGCCCAGACCTCCCCCTCTTTGATCCCTGTCCCTTCAGGAGATGTGGGTTCTCAGATGGTCTATCCCTTCCCCCGCTTAGGTTCCTGCCATCCTGGGGGTGCCTCTGAGCCCCGCAACGTGAGCATATCACCAGGCTCCCCTCAACAGATCTTAGGAAAGTGGTTTCCAGCCTCCTACCAAAAACTGTACTTTTAAAAATTCTTTATTAGAGTAAAACATCCTCTAGGAAGCCAGTGTACCATGAACTGTTAACAGTTAAGAGTTGGGGGTGAGTCATGAAAAGTGGGGGTAGCTTTGACCTTACGCTTGCTTCAGCTGTCTCTCTGCCACCCCATTCCTCTGCTCTCTCTTCCGGCTGATCAGCCTGATGCAGCTGCTGGGAAGGCACCACAGGCAAGGCAGGCCTGGCTCCCTGTCCCATCCCCACTGGCTGGGACTGGGGCTCTAGGCCAGTCCCCACATCAGCCAGCTGCTCTGGGTCATTGGTGCCACAAAGTACTTTGCACCTTAACCAGGAGTTTACCCTCTGCCCACTTCTGCAGCCCGGCCATCTGTCAAACTGACAGGTGACTCTAGGAAGAAATGTCTGTGGTGAAAAAACAACAACAAAAATATAGGACTCTTTTCTGTCTTCCTAATGCCCTGGGCTGTTTCTTCCTTTCCTTTCTTCTACAGAGCAATGACTCCAAACAATTGAATCAAAGGTTTTAACCCAAACCAGTTTTTATTTGGTAAAAGACCCAGAGAATCCATAAAAACCACCTTCTGAATTGGATAAACTCGTACCATTGGAGAGTGACCATATGAGGAATGGGCTGTTTTTGTTTTATTTTGTGTTGATTTGGGGTTGGGTTTGGTTTGATTTGGTATGGTTTTTTGCAACTGGATCTTACTTTACAGTTCAAGCTGGCCTGAAACTTGTAGTGATCCTCCTGCCTCAGCCTCCTGAATACTGGGATTAAAGGTGTGTGCCACCATGCCTGGTTGAAAGGATCTGATTGAGTGAAGTGCCACAGGAAAATAATTTATAACAGCACATAGTAGCCTTCAGTGTAGTCAGAAAGCATTTGGTGTGGTGATGATTGGTTGCAATATAATTCCAAGGAGGAGTCATGGTGTGAACAAGCACCACTGTGTGAAGAATTAGGGTCTGGACTCCCTTCTGATGGTTGCTAGCTTGGACATAGATGGTCCTTGGAGCCTCAGTTTCTCCATCTTTGGGGATAATAATCCATGCCATTTGTTCCTCTGGCTTGTGGTTAAGAATCAAAATGGACATGAATGCAGAAGTCCTTGGAAAGCAGTAAGGACTACAGCCATTCATTACTTGGCTGTTTGCTTAACACCCACCAAGCCTAGACCCATAGGAGAGCTGGGGCTCCTGGAAGGAACATAAGGGCTGTGGTCCTCAGTGTTATCTTGTCATGCATTTCCCATGTTGGGACTTTCATTTTCAGGATGCAGGAGAAGTTAGATGTTCTGACTTACTCTTGTTGGGCTCGCTTCAATAAATTATCTGTGGGAGGTTAAAAAAATAATTGGAGCTGGTTACTAGCCTGGTAGAGCCCACATCATCCCCACACCCCTGGGCTTGGCAGGTGCCACTTGCCCCCAGCCTGCTTCCTCCCTCCTGAGCTTTCTGCTTTTAGCTTCCTGCCCTCTTTCCCCTGGTGATGATGAAAAGGCTTTATATTTGGTGCTTCTATTTATCCAATGTGCATTTAAATCAGTTCCCATTTAATCCCTATAATTCTGCAAGACACTTAGGGCAAATGGTCCATCTGAAAATGGAGAGAAATGACTTTCTCATGCTTACACACTGCTGTAGCGGGGTGGGGGGCTAGAACTCATATCCAGCTAGGGGGACAGTTGGTGTACCATCTTCTTGAGGAAGTCTGCCTGGACCCTGGTTTGCAGTTAACCTGTCCTTCATATGTACTCCCCTGTCACCTTTTCCTGTCCCATAGCCACCATTTTCTAACACTCAGCATTCTCCACTGTTGTGCATATTTGAGTCTGCGTCTGTTCTGTCCCAGGTGGAGCATCCCTTGCTCTTGTTCCTCTTGATTTCTCCCTTGGAGTCTGACCACTGTGCCTGAGACATGACCCTCAAATAATTCTGTTGACTGTACAGATGGAAGAATAGTCATCTACCAGTTCACTGCAGATAGGAAGCTGCTGGGTTCATTGACTCCATGCATCAAAAAGCCTTGAGTCTCAGAAAAAGAGCTCATTGTTCTTCCAGACAGTGGACTTGTTGGGATCAGACACATGCCGGCTCTCTCCAGTGTGCTTGGAAAATAATGTCTACAAGCCAAGTTCTCTAAACTTAACCTTAGACTGAGGGTGTAGCTCAGGGGTAGAGCACTTGCCTAGCACACACCAGGCCCTGGGTTAAATCCCCAGTACCACTAAAAATAAAGACTTAAATTCTCCTGAAGTTTGATAGGTCCTGACTTTCTTTGAAGAAGACAAGATTCACCTGGGCTGCAGCTAGCACCTTTCTGTGCTTACAAAGAGAGGTTCCTTTTTCCAGACTGATATAGCCCATTATGAGGGACAGGCTAACTGGTCCAACTAGGGACTGGATTGAGCCTCAGAGCTAAGCGTGTCCCACCCAGCACTATGGAGCAGCCTGCCTCTCACCCCCTGCATCTTTCTCATTTGGTAGAAAATGTGTCTTTCCACTTCCGTATCCCTTTATGTGGCACAGGGCCTGCCATGGGGTGGGTGCCCATTATGTTGGTCTAGGGAAGGAGATGCCAAAGAAAATGGACTTCTCTGCAGTAATGAGCAGCTGGCCATTTTGGGCTCCAAGCCATGCTCAAGGAGCCTTCTGAGTCTGTGTCCTTCCACTGTACCACCCCTGGGTCTTTGTCGTTGCAAGGTCCAGAGGGCAGCTAAGGGCTCTGTAGCCAAGAAGTGGGGAGATGGCTTTAGGTGACAGTGAGGGCATGCTCTGATGGCTCTTTCTCAGCAGAGGGAGCCTGGAAACACAGCTGCCTGTTATTACTCTCATGACTAATGCATGACCTTGCACAAATCCTTTTCCTTACACGGCAGATTCCTAGAACAAGAGACCTGTAAAAAGACCTCATAATTGCCTTCTTTAGCCCCTTCATTTCACAGGTGATAAAATGAAAAAGGAGGAGCCCTCCTGGTCAGACACAGTAAACACTGAGCATGTGTTTTGATTCTGTGTCCACTGCTTTTGCTGAGCCTCACTTTTCAATTTTATTACCCATCTAATGGAGATAGTCATTCCCATTCCTTTTTTCCTAGAATTCTTGTTAGAGTCAAATGAAAGTGTAGATGTCAAAGTGCTTCCAGATGTACGAAGGGCTAAATCACTAACAACTCTTTGCCCAAATAGATGCCATGGTAATAACTGCCAGACACCTAGACAGCAGTTTGCCCCCCATAAGATGAGCACCCATCTTAGCATCATAGCCCAGGGGTAAGTCACGACCCCTGCCTAAGCCTGGCTTCCCTGCCTAAGCCTGGCTTCCCTGCCTGAGGTCCTATTTGACTTCCTTTCTGCCCATCTCCTCCACAGGCCTGCTAATTAGTTCCTTGTTATTTGTGTCAAGAAGAGGCAGCTGAATGATTGGAGCATGTTTTCCTTTGAATCTATCCTATTAGGAAGTAGATGATCTCAAAAGGAAAAAAGTGTCATTAGAGGCTTCATGGAGCCCTGTGTAAACTCTAAGAAATGTCAGGACTCCCTTGGAAAGCACGCAGAGCACCCGAACTGCATGTCGACAGCCTGATTAGTGGTGTGAATGTTTCCCTTCAGGAAATGCCACCCATGGGCTGGAGAAAGAACCACTTTTCATTCTGCCACAGGGCCCCTGCTGGGGCTCCCAGGAGACTACCAGACACCTGGCCTCTGTGGGTGGAAAATGCCCAGGAAAGAAAGGAAGAGGAAAGGGTTCATCTTAATCTGGGAAACTAGAGGTCTTGTATTTTTGGTGGATCATTCAAGCAATTTTACGTTTTCTGTTAGACTGGCCTGCCTTTGAGCCCTAACCCTTTTCTATTTCATAGTCTGTGTCTTCTTATTTCATTCAGAATGCTTCTACATGTTGCCTCCAAAGCTCATTAGGATTCCTTAAATTAAAAAAAAAAAAAAAAAGTATTTCAAGGGTTCTCAATATGTGGTCCCGGACCAGCAGCATGAGCTTCACCTGGGAACCCCTCAGAGACAAGGATTATCAGGTCTCACCTCAGACCTGCTGAATCAGAAGCTGTGAGAGTTAGGGTCATCTACCTATGTGTCTGCAGCCTCC